TGTTTGGACCGCTTGCTACTTTGTGTTTGCTTAAGCATGTTATCCAATTTTTATAGTGGTTCCTTATGAATATCGTAATAATTCGATGGAGCATAAAATCGGACGTTGGAAAATTAAACTATTTATTGCAACATTATAAATATCTCGGCTTCGAGGTGTACTTTATTACACATTTTTTGATGTTGAGATAGAAAGATATGTCGTAAGAAAGCATAAAAATTGAATGGTCTATATCTACTAAGTCATGAGTGTGAATCATTACAGTGAATCTGCCTCGTTTCAGTAATCGATAATTATTCCCATAATTTATTCGCATTCTGAGCAAATACAGTTTCCACATCTATCAGGTATCATCAGCCACCCAGTCAGCTTTCTTTGGGTCGTTAAACTTTAATCGCCTCATACTGACCGTTTAGAGCTGTGTTTTTGCAACCTGATTAACACCATTACAGGGCTAAACCCCGTCATCCCAATCAGGGTTACTTTCAGGATTACACAATCTCGACCATGCTTTGAATTAGAGCATTAAACCTTGATGACCCGAACATGACTTTGGGCTCTTTTGTACTAACTGAAGTGCTTACTGGAATTTACAAGCGTTCAAATATTGATACACGCACGCACACTTAAGTATGAGTACCCTGATTAATATGAACGAGGACTAGCCAAAACATTACACACTCATCTACATCTATATATTTTCGTTTTTAGTTATGAGTAAATAAAGCATGTAGGATAGAGCTTGATAGTCTTGCTGACTTAGAATTAACTTGAAGCTTTTGCAGGAATGAATTCTAATTCTGACAATGATCGTCAAGTGTCAGGATGAATGAAAGCTCAGCCCCATTACATCAAAAATAAGAAAAGATATTTAGGGGATTGCGTCAATATAAGCGTTTAAGTCAAAAGACCGCATAACAACGGCATCAGCCGTCATCCTCTGACGATATTGATATACGAATCTCCTCATACGAAATGAACGTCTCCACAACAGTGGTATCTGAAGAGACTATTCGAAAGCCAATTACTCTTCGTATAAAGGTCCATAGGTATTTCAAAACATGCTCGTTTGTTTTGCCATTTTTGCGTCTATCCGTCTATCTCTGGACGTTTGAATATGCGCGATTGGTGACTTTTCTACCCATTCATCTGTGCTATATCCGATAACATAGGCGAAATGAAAGAGCCTAAGGGATGCGGACAAACAGGTAATCGAGCTTAGAGTAACAGCGGATGCTTGGGCAATCCGGGCAATATTTGCTAACAAAGAGGGCATACAGCATACAATCTTAATAATTCGATCAAGTTGAGTTCGCTTCCATTTTCAGCAACCCGATTGTTACGCAAAAACGTAATTTCGCATGACCAGACCGGCGAAAAAACCAGGGAATTCTCAAAGCAAGACTTGCTCTTTCTCCGCAGTCGGCAACAATTGAACGTGTCCGATTTTCAGCTGTTCGCATTGGCAAATTATTTGCTTATTTTCGAGTCATTCTCAATTGACAAATGGGTATTTTCGTTGATGAGCCTCACAGACGGCTTAAACTGTTCATCTTTAACATCCCTTCAATTTTGAGGACATCCTTCTTGCTCTATAACGCAACTACGATCAGCTTTCGCTTTAATGTGGCCGACTAATTTGGGGCAAGAAAGTATTTTGCAAACAACCCCAGTTTGTAGAATGGTTGAGTAGATTTTGCAAGGGCTGAAGTTTTCACTTTTAGGCAGCCTTACGTCCCAGCTGAAGTGAACTTTTACGACACGGACGATTTCGTGGGCTTCGTTGGCAAGCCAAATAACTGTCAGCTTCCATGAAGCTGCAATCTTATATTTTATGGCAAAAAAACTTCACTAAACCGGCGGCCAATTGGAAGAGTAATTAGCTGCCCTCGGGATGATGGAAGGAAAGCCCTGGCCTTACTACAACTGTCAGTATTTCAAACAAGTCGGCACGTTTGTTTTCAAGGCCTAATGTACTCACTGAACCAAATTACAATACCAAAGCGAAACTGTGCTCAGGCCAGTTGTTCTATGAAGGCTCTGATCTGTTTTTTTTTCGTTCTGAGCATATGCCGCCACCAGAGTTGTTTCGTGCTAGCCTTGCTGCCTCTCGAATACGACGCGTCCGTGTGCCTAGGGAGATTGAGTAGACGATGCATGAGGTGCTCAGGAGACGTAAAGACCCAAGACTGGGTCTAGATGACTAAAAATAATGAATTACTCAAATTCAGCCTCTCATATGTCTTCACTTTTGGACCTTGGCTTAGCCTGTTCACATACTTTCTCAGACTATCCCATACTCCTCTTGGCTGACGCCTCTACTGAGCCAAATGTCAGCATCGCCAAGTCTTTTGAGCACTTTGCCACAGCGAATGAGAGAGGGAGTCCTCAGGGGTTAGACAGATACCGAGGTAAGCGAGCAATAGGTCATCTCACCGGTACCGGCAGTTATAATTCGATCGAATATGCACCGGCTGCGCTCCTTTTCAGAATAAAGTTGCTTACATCTATGGTTGTCTCGCAACGGGTAATCTGCCTATGTCGCTAAGGCTAGGCGTTAGTCCATTCCACCCTCATCTGGATTTATGGCAGTCAAGAGCAACATTGCGGCATATACTGAGAGTCACTTTGATACAATATTATACATATATATATTTATATTTATCTTTATGCATATGTTTATATAGTCATATATTATTAGGTGTATAGATATTCATGTATTTATATGCATGTGTGAATCTGTGCTTTGTACAGCGTTCATTTTGCTATTGCTTCCTTTCAAGATCATGGTCTTTTCTTCTACCTTGGTATCGATTTTCCTCAGACTGTCTACTCCTTCTGCCTTGGAGACGTGTTTATTGTGCCCGCATATTTGCTCTGCTGCTACATGCTCCTAATGTCTGAAACGAACATCAGGTTGATAGACGAATGGGAAGGGGTTAATACAGGAGTAGGCTCGCTAGGGATGGCTTCCGCTGAGTTTCCATGCCATGATCAAGTGGACTAAAAGCTTTTCGTCTGCCAAAGTTGCCGTTTG